CCACATCCTGGCCTACACAAGTGCTACCTAGTAAATAGGAGGAGAAGGCAGAATCTCCGGGGAGGCCAAGTGCTGGGATATTGTGAGGTTTGTCGTCACAGTCAGGCTGCTTTCTTTCTTCCGGACGCGTTTCTGGCTGATGTTACCCTTTGTAAGTAGTCAGATTTTAGGAAACAGAATAAAATTAATCTTCAGCAAGGATTACTTTTTCCCCTAAACTGGAGAATATACCTTTTAGTTTTGCTCCACACTTTTTATTTTTTTTTAAACTCTTGGGTCTAGGTTAGTAGCTCAGAGTATGGGCAGAACATCATAATCGCGAGACTAAAATGGTGAAGAGCAAAACGTCATCGACAGGTTAGAGGATGGAGTTGAAAAAGGCTTCTCCTGATTCTTTTCAGAACCCATTTTTCAAAAGAAAATTTTTAAGGTTGACCCAAAATTTTGTATCTTGTTTGATTCTTTAATCAACAATAGTGACTAAATAGTTCGTGTCTTTGAACATTTGATTACAAAACATTTTGACATAGTAATCCATTATAGACACCAGAGTGTCTGAGAATGACTAATTTAAGGCAATGTAAAAATAGCAAAAATTCCAAGAAATCTGTGGGGCATCTAGACAGCATATATCCCTTTAAAGGAAAACAATTATTTCATGTGCTTATTCAGAACCCAAGAAAAATAGGTGTTTCTTCACCATAGCTTGTAGTCATTGGTTTTACAAAACAAAGCTCTTCCTTTTCATTTATCAATATTTGAGATCCTCAGGATGTTTGATAAGTGAGGCTCTCAGTAATGAAGAGAATTCATTTGTGGATTTTAAAACAGTTCTTCTGTCTTCCACATATTTTTGGTGCTTTTCAGTTTTAGGTAGAAAGTCAAACAGAGTCATTTATTTTTGGCCAATTCGGCTTTGGATAGAATGAAATAATTAAAGTCAATTCTAAATATTATATTTTACCTCCTTTTAAATTTTGCTTTATTTTATGGCCTTCTTCTGTGGCCTAAAATATACGATGCTAAAGCACCTAGCACACAACATCTGTCATGGAGTAGGGTCTCAAAATTAATGTCCTTTATGTAAAATTTCAAAGATATTTTCAAAAAAAAAAGAAACTAACATTTTTGTTGAGAAAATTATGAGGGATAATAGGAGACACTGGGGGTATTGTAAAGTAACTTTCATTATAAGTAATCAACTCTCATTATTATATATCAGTCAAGAGGAAGATATAGAACACTGATATGTCAAAACACATGCACACACACACACATAGACTCCAGAAATTATTGTGTTTTTCCATATTCTTTTTCTCCCTAAATTTCAGAGCACTGATGGTTAACTGTTTTGGATTAAGTGACTCATAAACCTATTCTGCCAGATTTGGACGGTTGAAAGCATCCCCAGTTTTGTTAATGAGTGTCTGCACAGCAGCTCTCGAGCCGTTTGCCAAGAAGCAGTAGACACTGGCAATTAACGTAAAAGGTGTCTGTATCGATTTGTGCAATAGCCAGCATGCGTATTTCTCTAAACACACCTTTAAAAAATACTAAGAAATGCAGTGCTACATGCCACGTGTAATGAGACCCCCCCAAAGTTTTTAACAGATGTGAGAAATGTGCCCCCCACTGACTGAGAGGCATCAGTATTCTAAAGTTTCATCCTATAGGTAATTTTGGGGAGAGAAAAGGAGTGGAAATCCCAGGGCTCGCTTCTGCTGGGAGGCAGATGATGTGGTTGCAGGGGTGGAGGAGGTGGAGAGGGAAGAAGATGATGAACGAGGAGAGCAGAGTTCTGGAAAAGGACCTCAGGAAATGGCAGAGAAATGGGATTCTTTTTTAGCTACCCGGAGTGTGAAACATTCAAGAGAGGGAACAAAGTCTAAATGGATGTAGAGAAAGTTTTCTGTAAGGTGTGTAGTATTTAAAATCCCTGGATTAAACCCTTTAGAAGATATATAATAAAAATCAACTGTATTTTTTTTTTTTGAGTCAGAGTCTCACTCTGTTTCCCGGGCTGGAGTGCAGTGATGTCATCATAGCTCACTGAAACCTCAAATTCCTGGGCTCAAGCAATCCTCCCGGCTCAGCCTCCCAAGAAGCTGGGACTACAGCCCCGGGTCACTACACCCAGCTAATTTTTCCATTACTTTTGTAGAGTTTGGGTCTCATTATGTTGTCTAGGCTGGTCTCAAACTCCTGGCCTCAAGCAATCCTCCTGCCTCAGCCTCTCAAAGTGCTGGCATTACAGGTATGAGCCACCATGCCTAGCCTGTAATTCTTTAAGGTTGCTGAACAGTGCTTTCCAGTGTGGCCTCTGTATAAAGACAGAACCAAAATGCACTTCTTGGGCTTATAAGGGCTTTTACATAGCTTGTTTAGAGGCTGTGATGGTTAGTTTTATGTGTCAACTGAACTGGGCCATGGGGTGCCCAGATTTATTTCTGGGTGTGTCAGTGAGGACGCTCCCATATGAGATTAGTATTTAAACCAGCGGACTGAGTAGACTGCCCTCCCCAATGAGAGTGGGCATCCTCCAGCCCACTGAGGGCCTGAACACAACAAAAGGTGGAGGAAGGAGGAATTTGTCCCCCTTTTTTTTCTGCCTCACTGCTTGAGCTGGGACAGCTCAGCTTATCTTCTTCTGGCCTTGGACTGAGATTTACACCATTAGCTCCCCTAGTTCTCATGCCTTTTGGTTTGACTGAATCACACCACCAGCTTTCCCGGGTCTCCGGCCTGCATCCGGCAGATCATGGCCCTTCTCAGCTTCCGTAAGTGCATGAGCCAATTCTTCACTGTTTATCACTTGCCTCGTCTCGTCTCGGCTTTTTTCTTTCTTTCCTTCTTTCCTTCCTTCTTTCTTTCTTTCTCTCTCTCTCTCTCATCTCTCTATCACCTATTGGTTCTATTTCTCTGAAGAATTCTGTTTAATACATAGTTATTAATTGGATAAATGCTCCATATTAGTTTCATTTTTTTCCTTTTATTTCATCATATTATGGGGGTACAAATATTTTTAGGGCTACAAATATTGCCTCTGCCCCACTCCCTAGTTTCATTTTTTGTTAGAAATCTTTAGTATGTTCATAATTGAAAAAAGGTCTAATTTTTAAAAACACTAGCTTTTGGAAATGTCTAAGGTTACTCTAACCTTACTTGTCTTCAATAACTTTTCCTCTCCTTTTTCCATTTACAAGATCTGTAATTATTTTTCATTAATTTTCAGTGTGCACAGCTAGAGTTGGGAGTGCATTGTAAGAATAGAGAAGAGGGTATATAGACCTTCTGGAAACCTTATCTCACTACCTAAGCTTTTTGGGATCTTGTCCTCCTCTAAAACTTTACTGTTATGTAACATATGCTGCGTGTAAATGTGATATTTATGTCTCTGTATTTCTTTTCCTTTTTCCCAGGTTTTGCATTAGCCAGGACCTCCAGAAAGATGCTGTATGGTTAGTTGCTTTGACAGTCTTATTTCTTCTAATGGAAACCCTTCCCTTTGCATCTTATGTCTACTAGAGCATTCAGTGGTGACAACAGGTAAAATATGACATAAATGTCTTTACCAAAGCAAGGCAAAAGTCCACATCTAGCTAGAAAGCTTATTATATTTCTCTACAGGATAGAACAGGAAGGAGAGAATAGAAAAAGAGGGAAGGTGGGAGGGAGCAAAGAAGTGTTTGAAACAAGGAAACAGGAGTAAAATGGAAATCATAGAATAAATGGGAATAAGAACTATTAAAGTTAAAAATTCTCACTGCTCTCAGATCTACCTCTTTGTTGACAACAGAAATTTCTCACCTTGAATATATATAAACCTTCTTCTAGAGAGTGGAATCTTAGATCTTCTTTGATAGTAATATTTATCTTCTCCTAACTGACCTTCCCTCTCTTTCCTCATGGACCACAAGGTGTGGAGATCAACCCTGACTAGTCGTGCAATCTTGGGCAAGCCCCTTCAGCTTCTTCTTGGAGATAAGGGCAATGAACAGCATCCTCTATCTCCAAATCTCATCCAGCTATGCTCTCACCCCACAACACTTGGAGCAAAACACTCCATGACTTTGGTTTCTTCAAAATGAAAGGTATATGGGTATCTTTTAAATTAAGGATACCATGGACAAAGATGACAGAAGATGGAAGGGAAGATGTTATCTACATTGCCCAAAATTAATAAGGGACTGAAACAAGAATAAGACAGAAGGCCTAGGAGAAAAAGGCAAGAATATCAGAAGACAATCTGCAGAAGAGGAACTCTAAATGGCTACAAGCAGAAGAGATGCTCTAATTTATTAGTAATCAGAGAATTGCTAATTAAAAAACAGCAATTCGGTATTATTTTACTCCCATAAGACTGGCAAATATTAAAAAGTTGGATAATGCCATGGGAGTCCTCATCCATTTATCCACTACATGTGGCGATGTGGGAGGTTAGAATTGGCAGCCATTGTGGAGAGCGAGCTACAAGTACTGAGTCAAACACACACACACACATGCACACATACACACACAGACCTGGGTGAGAATTTATTTGTAATATATCTTAGAAGAAGAATTGCTGAGTCATTATAGACATTACAGATTACAGAGATTCTGCTCCCAAGATATGTTACAAATATATTGTCACCAGGTCCATATGGGATCGTGAAGCTGTTAATTTACAGTAAAGTTTGTGGTGGGAGAGAGCTGGAAGCAAGCAGGGAGAGTTGTTATATAAAATTGACGCTTGCACACCATAGTGTTAGTAGTAGCAGATTAGATGTACATAAAGCCATATAGATTAGAATTTAAAACTATTATGTTAAGTGAAAGTATGAAACAGAATTAAATTCATTTATGACAGTTTAAAATACATGCATGCATACACACACACAAACAATAGGCATGTTAATTTGAAAGTTTTGCAGCCATAAACCCCAGCCATTTAGAAAGAATGATAATTTTCAAGAGGAATATTTATGATTGCTTGGTATTTTGGAGATTATTGAGCTTACCTCAGTCTCCCTCGGAGAGAATCTAGTTGTTTTTTAATCTAGAAGAAGACAACAGGCAGTGGCAGCTTTGTGGACTGATCTGAGAGAAGACGTTGGCCTTGTATCTTCATTTTCAAGATGTCTATGTAAGAACCTGTCGAAACAAAGAGAGAAAGAAGAATGGAAGCAAAACGCATTCTATTCAGTACACAGGCAACACAAAATTCCTACATATTGTACTATGCATACAAAATTTATAGAATTTGTTATGATACTGTTTTACCACATTAATGCTATAACAACCTGGGATAGATTATAGCATTTTGCAGTGGAGGTGCTCCTGAATCAGGACCCAAAGTGCAGCCTTTCACAAATCCATTTCCTTTTCTTACCTAATTTTAAAGAAATCACTTTTAAAATCTTCACACACCAATGAAGGATTCTGCATGCTGTAATTTTTCTTATGTGTGGTTGCTCCCAATTTTCCTAAGACATGATTATTGTCATTTTAAGTTTTTACAAGATTTGTCTTCTCAGAACACAGAATGCCTTTGCTAATCTTATTTAGATATCATTGGAAGGAACTAAGTTCCTCATTAGACTAGTTTTAAGTTCATTTTTAAAATTATAAAAGTGATGTCTTTTTATTGTAGAAAATGTAGAAAAATAGAAGAAAATAAAAATTACCTATGATCTCACCATTCGACACAGCTAGTTTCAACGTTTGGTGAATATACATAAATTATCTTTTCTTCCTATGCTGCTAAAAAATTCGGATCATATCATATTGCAATTATTTACTTGCTTATACAATGACTTTGTTCCAGGACTATTTTAATTTGGCTAATATACATACCCACAAAATAAAATAAACTAAAAAATGAGTGGAAAAGGAGATAAGATGAGAGAAAAATAAGACAAGAAAAGGTAAGAGAAAGTTAGGTTGTGAGGTCAGTACACAGTACACAATGAGCTCTAGTATATTTGAGAGAAGTGGACCACACATGTGGCTCTAAGCCTCCTGGGAGCCAATGCAAAAAATCAAGGGCATGATTTCCAGAGGCCATAAAATACATACCATAATGAAATCAGGTGATATATGGCTCTTGCTGATAGTAGGCCTAAGGAGTTCATTCCATGAATCATCAACCAGTAGACAACATAGTGAACAAGAACCTCCTTAATATTTTCCCAGTAATTACAATACCCTCATTCATAGGACTTGGAAGAATCTCTTTGCAAACCATACATCTGATAAGGGGATAACATCCAAAATATATGAAGAACTCAAGCAACTCAATAGCAAAACCCCCCCCAAACAAACAATCTAATTTAAAAATAGGCAAAGGACTCGAATAGACATTTCTGAAAAGAAAACATACAAATGGCTAGCAAGTATATGAAAAAAATGCTCAATATCACTAATTATCAGGAAAATGCAAATCAAAATCACTATATCACCTCACATGTGTTAGAATGGTTATTATCAAAAATATAAAAAATCACAAGCATCAGTGAAGATGTGGAGAAAAGGGAACCCTTGTACATTGTTGGTGGTCAATTCATATAACACTTATAAAAAAAACCCATTAAGGTTCTTTAAAAAATTAAAAATAAAATTCCCACATGATCCAGCAATCCCACTTCTGGGTATATATCCAAAGGAAATGAAATCTGTATGTCAGAGAGATATCAGCACTGCCATGTTTATTGTAGCATTGTTCACAAGAGTCAAGATATGGAATCAACCTAAGAGTCTATCAGTGGATAAATAAAGAAAATGTGGTACATACACAATAGGACACTCTTCAGCCATAAAAAGAAGGTGATTTTGTCATTTGCAACAACATGGATGGAACTGGAGGACATTATATTAAGTGAAATAAGCCAGGCACAAAAAGACAAATACTGGATGATCTCACTCACATGTGGAACCTAAAAACGTTGATCTGATGGAAGTAGAGAGTAGAATGGTAGTTACCAAGGGCTAGGGCAATGGAGGTTGGAGATTGAGGAGATGTTGGTCAAAGGGTAAAATATTTCAATTAGATAGGAGCAATGATAAGTAGATATATTTTATATCATGGGAAAAAGCTATAGTTAATAATATATTGTATTCTTGAAAAATGCTAAGAGAGTAGATTTTAAATGTTCTTACAACAAAAATGATAACTTTGTAAGGTAATACATATGCCAATTAGCCAGATTTAGCCATTCCAATGTATACATCTTTTGAAAGATAATATTGTACATGGTAACTGCCTACAATTTTGTCAGTTTAAATAGATAAATACAGTAATATGTGTGGAGCTGGTACCACGACATCTGGTACACAGATGCTTTGTATCAAGGCTTTATTTATTCTTTAATTTAATCCTCTCTATTGCTTTGCTTTTCGTCACCCTTTGCAAAATATAGTTGTGGGATTACCAGCCTAAAAATCTTGATTAAACTGAATGTGACTTTGAAGGAAAAGAAACTGCTAGTAATATTATAAGAAGCCAGATCCCAGTGGCTTTATAAAACCAGTTTAATTATTTTAAATGCAATTGTATTTAAAATACATACATTCATGTATTCATTTGAGATAAGCTTCTAACTCTAAATATTTAAATAAGACCAGCCACATTCCTGTAAATTGTACAGATCAAATTTTATTTTCTACCTTTATTGCTGTCTGTTATATTCCACACTCAAGAAAAGCCATATGCTCTGATTTCAATTTTACTCAGCAAATATTTGTGATTAAGTATATACGTTTTTAATCACTGCCTTTGGCAGTAAGGTAAATGACAATTGTCCATAGTTCAAATGAACTTTTGGACTATATTATATTATCTCTCATCAGTTATTCCTTAATAAAATATTCTTAGGGAGGGTTACAATTATGAAATGATCCTTCCTCAGGAAAGTTAATTTTTTTAGAACATATTTTTACTTCTGTATTTTTAATCCCTTCTGCAGGCAAAGTGATAAATTTAATAAATGTTTAAAAACTTTGACTATCTCCGCTTCTGTATATTTCATCACTATTTCTTTATTTTGTTATTTATTTTCTTATCGTCAATATTGAAATGGCTCGAGTATCTCCTATGTCCCATGCCCTTTTTCACTCTCTCCTTATAATTTGTAGCCAAATATCATTCCACTATCCTGCCACTCAATTTCTACTTATTCCTTGCTTCTGTACCTACTTCATCACCAAAAATAATTTGCTAAAAACATAAAAATTTAATAAACAAATATAATAAATAATAAAATTCCATATGTACAAAAAATAAATTGGGAGGCATCAATGTACCAAACTTCAAGCTATACTACAAGGCTATAGTACCAAAACAGCATGATACTGGCACAAGAACAGAGACATAGAGCAATGGATAAGAACAGAGAACCCAGATATAAAACCATTCTCATATTGCCATTTAATCTTTGGCAAAACACACAAAAACATACACTGAGGAAAGAATCCCTATTCAATAAATGGTGCTGGAAAAATTGGATAGCCATATATAGAAGACTGAAACAGGATCTGCACCTCTCACCACTTACAAAGATTAATTCACAATGCATGACAGACTTAAACCTAAGGCATGAAACTTTACAAATTCTAACAGAAAATATTGGAAAAACTTTTATGGATATAGGTCTAGGCAAAGAATTTATGGAGAAGACCCTAAAAGCAATCACAGCAACAACAAAAATAAATAAATAAGACCTGATAAAGTTAAATAGCTTCTGCACAGCCAAAGAAACAATCAATAGAGCAAATAGACAATCTACAAAATAGGTCAAAATATTTGCATGCTATATATCTATAAAGGGCTGATAACTAGAATCTACCAAGAACTCAAGCAAAGAAGCAAGAAAAAGTCAAACAACCCCGTTAAAAAGTGGGCAAAATACATGAACAGAAATTTTCAAATGAAGATAGGCTAATGGCCAATGAACATATGAAGAAATGCTCAACATCTCTAATCATCAGGGAAATGCAAATCAAAACCGCAATGAGCTATCACTTATCTCCAGTGAGAATGGCCTTTATCAAAAAGTCCCCAAATAATAAATGCTGGTATGGATGCAGAGAGAAAGGAACACTTATACAGTGTTGGTGGGATTACAAATTAGTATAATGTCTATGAAAAGTAGTATGAAGATTCCTCAAAGAACTACAAGTAGACCTGCCATTTGATCCAGCAATCCCACTACTGGGTATTTACCCAAAGAAAAGGAAGACATTTTATAAAAAGACATTTGCAATCAAATGTTTATAGCAGCACAATTCACAATTGCAAAGATATGGAAACAACCCAAGTGCCCATCAATACATGAGTGAATTAATAAAATGTGGTATATGTATAACATGGAGTACTACTCATCTAAAGAAGGTGAACTAATACCTTTTATAACAACCTGGATGGAACTGAAGACCACTCTTATAAGTGAAGTATTGCCAGAATGGAAAAACAAATACCACATGTACTCACTACTAAATTGGAACTAATCAATCAACATTTATGTGCACATATGGAAGTAAACTCAATGGAAATCAGGCGGGTGCGAGGGGTGAGGAAGGGATGGATAAATTCACATCTAATTGGTACAATGCACATTATCTGGGTGATGGGCATACTTAATAACTTTGACTCAAACTGTACAAAAACAAATTATATAACCAAAACATCTGTAGCTCCATAATATTCCAAATTTTAAAAATACATAAAAAATAAATAATAGAAAATAAATTGCAAACATCATGACATTCCCTAAATAATTCAGCAGGTATTTAAGAATAGAGGCACTGTTTTTTCTAACCAATACAATTTGCATACACTCAAATTTAAAAATAACTCTGTCACAGCACCTATAATGTAGTCCGAATTCAAATTTTCCCTAATTGTTTCCAAAATGTCTTTATAGCCATTTTGGTTTTGATTCATGCTTTTATTTGATTACAGACTCTTAATCTCTTTTTGTCTAAAACATTCCCTCACCCTTTGTTTTGTTTTGACATTGATCTTTTTGAAATACCTAGGTCTTGTCCTGTAGAATGTCCCACATTCTGGATTTGGCCCATCCTGTAGTGGGTGGCAGACAATCAATCATTTACTTCACTGAATGAATTCCTCTTGGTCCTTCAAAGAGCTCATATAA